TCCTCTCTCCTCCTCCTCCTCCTGCCTCCTCCTCCTCCTCCCCCCCCTCCTCCTCCCTCCTCCTCCTCCTCCTCCTCCTCCTCCTCCTCCTCCTCCCCTCCTCCTCCTCCATCCTCCTCCTCCTCCTCCTCCTACGTCCTCGTTCCTCCTCCTCCTCCTCCTCGTCCTCACCTCCCTCCTCCGCTCCTCCTCCTAACCTTCCTCTCTCCTCCCTTGCCTCCTTCGCCTTCCTCCTCCTCCGGTCGCCCTCTCCCCCTGGCCGCCCTGCGCCCCCTCCCCCCGCCGCAGACCTCCGCGCTGCCGCCCCCGCCGCTCCTCCTGCGACCTCTGCAGGCCCAGCACCACGCGATGCAGGTCGGCCCCGCCGCGCGGGTCGGCCTGCGGCCGGCTGGCCCCCCCAGGAAGGACGGAAGGAAAGAAGTAAGGAAGGGAGGGAGGGAAGGGAGGGAGGGGGGAGGAGCAAGCTAGGTGCGCTCGCGTCATATCTGACGTCCTACCCCTCCCTCCCATCCCTTACCATGGCGCTGATTTTCTCTATCCGCGGACGCGTGTCGTAGCGGACCTGTGGCTCCGCGCGCGCGTGCGTAGTGGGTGGTGGTGCGCGTGCGTGCGTGCGTGCGTGTGTGCGTGGTTGTGGTGGTGGTGGTGGTGGTGGTGTGGTGGTGGTGGTGGTGGTGCTGGTGGTGGTTGTGATGGTGGTGGTGGTGGTGGTGGTGGTGGTGGTGGTGGTGGTGGTGGTGGTGGTGGTGGTGGTGGTGGTGGTGGTGCGGCGCGGTGGTGGCGGGCGGATGGGCGCGCGAGAAAGAGGCCCGCGCTGGGGCGAGAACGCCATCCTGAACGACGGAGGCCAAACACCGATCCGAAAATGAGGCCCACGCTGCAGCGGGAGCACGATTCGGAACGATTCGGGAGCAGAAATGAGGCCAGTGCCTCAGCGAGAGCAGCATTTTGAAAAAAACGCAGGCGAAAACCCGTTTCCCAGGAATCCTGTGTTGAAAAACAGTACGCGGGGGGGGTCGGCCATCTTCGGGACGCCCTCAGGGGAAGTGGGAGAGTATTTTCATATTGTGTAATTGTGGAGTAGGACGGGAGGAGGACGGGAGGGAGGGAGAGGGCAGGAGGGAGGAGGACGAAGGAGGGGGGAGAAGTCAGATCTCGGGCGATGTGAACTCTCACAGTGCAGGAGCTGATCCTGGACTTCGGCCCCCGGGGGTCGTGATCGGGCCCTGGGGCCACAGCAGAAAGGATCTGGGCGAGAAGCCGGCCCAGGGGAAGGGGTCGGGACATCTGGGCCCGCGCAGTGGGCAGAAAGACGTATCGACGGGTGACGAAGGAGCAGCACGAGCAGCGAGGAGAAGCGGCGATGGTGAACGACCAGCACGCGGCTGCAGGAAGGCGTGCCTAGTGAGAGCCATGCTCCTCCACACGGGTACCATTCTCGTCCACCTCCTCGCTGCTGCTCCTCCCCCGTCCTCCTTTTCTTCCTTTCTCCTCCTCCTCCTCCTCCTCCTCCTCCTCGCCATTATCACCACGAACAACATGTGTGCATCATCCTCCTCCTCCTTCTTCCGCCTCCACCTGCTTCCTACGGCTCCGATGTCCTTGGACCAGAAGCAGTCGCATTTGCAGATGCACAAGAAAACCGCTGACGTATATTCGGAAGAGCTTATTCCAAAGAGATGGTGCGCGACCCCCTAATTATCATCAGCAAAACCAGCAGCATCGTCAAAGTCAGTATCATCGCCACCACCATCATCATCACATCCACCAGCAGCATCACCATCATCAACAACATCCACATCATCCTCATCCTCATCCTAATCATCGTCATCACCACCACCATCATCGTCACCAATGTCACCATCATCACCATCAAGACCATCACCATCTGCAGCATCAGTATTATTATTATCATCATCATCATCATCATCATCATCTGATCACCCTCATCGCCATCATAATCAGCACCAGCATCATCATAAACAGCATCACCAGCATCCTCATCATCATCACCATCAGCATCATCCGCATCATCATCAACATCATCATTGGCAGCATCAGCATCTGAATCAGCTTCATGATCAGCATCATCATCATCATCATCATCATCATCATCATCATGATCATCATCATCATCAAAATCATCATCAGCATCACCATCATCGGCATCATCATCATCAACATCGTCGTCGTAATCATCACCATCAACCGCATCATCATCACCACCACCACCAATATCATCATCAGTCTCGCCATCTTCATCATCCTTATCATCATCATAATCATCATCATCATCAGCAGCATCATCATCATCAGCATCATCATCATCATCATCAGCATCATCATCATCATCATCATCATCATCATCAACGTCAGCAGCAGCAGCGATAGCCAGCTCATCATCATCATCCGCACCCTTCTCGTCGTCCTCGTCCTCATCCTTTCGCCTTGTTCTCCTCCTCCTCCTCTTCCTCCTCGTCATTCTTCACGCCCTCCTCTCCTCCCTCCCCTCCTGTTCCTTCTCCGCCTCCTCCTGCTCCTCCTCCTCCTCCTCCTCCTCCTGTCCCTCTCTCCTCTTCATCGCTCCTCTTCCTCCTACTCCTCCTCCTCCTCATCATCATAATCGCCCTGGTCCCACCCTTCCCCCGCGCGCAAAACCTGGGAAAGGGGGGGGGGAGAGGGAGACTATCAAGTGGGAGGAGGAGTGGTCGCAGCAGGAGGAGGGGACAGCAGACAGGAGAGGGAGAAAGGACGATGAGGGCGCGGAGCGGGAAGCAGGGATGCATCCTCCTTCTCGTTCTTCTCCTCCTTTCGTCCCCCTACTCTTCGTCAGCACCATCATCACCATCATCAGCATCATCATCATCATCAGCATCAGCATCAGCATCATCACCGACATCATCATCACCAGCAACAGCAAGGGAATTCTCATAATCGCTCCGCTCATCACGCACCCATTATCATCAGCAGCATCATCATCGTCAGCACCATCATCATACTTGCCAATAGCAGCATTGTCATCATCACCGCCACCATCATCATCAGCAAAGTCACCCGCATTGGCAGTCGCACTTCCACTATTACCACCAGCAGCAGCAGCAGCAGCATTCTCACCATCACTAAAACCATCACCATCATCAGCATCACCAGCATCATCAACAACAACAGTATCAGCATCAACATCAGCAGCATCACCATCATCATCGTCGCCACCATCGTCATCAACAGCATCATCACCATCAGCATAATCAGCAACATCAGCATGAGCATCAGCATCGTCATCTCGATACTCATCAGCGTCATCATCATCGGCATCACCATCATCTTCGTCATCAGCGTCATCATCAGCATAACCATCGTCGTGATCAAGTCGTCCTCGTCCTCATCCTTTCGCCTTGTTCTCCTCCTCCTCCTCTTCCTCCTCGTCATTCTTCACGCCCTCCTATCCTCCCTCCCCTCCTGTTCCTTCTCCGCCTCCTCCTGCTCCTCCTCCTCCTCCTCCGCCTGTCCCTCTCTCCTCTTCATCGCTCCTCTTCCTCCTACTCCTCCTCCTCCTCATCATCATAATCGCCCTGGTCCCACCCTTCCCCCGCGCGCAAAACCTGGGAAAGGGGGGGGGAGAGGGAGACTATCAAGTGGGAGGAGGAGTGGTCGCAGCAGGAGGAGGGGACAGCAGACAGGAGCGGGAGAAAGGACGATGAGGGCGCGGAGCGGGAAGCAGGGATGCATCCTCCTTCTCGTTCTTCTCCTCCTTTCGTCCCCCTACTCTTCGTCAGCACCATCATCACCATCATCAGCATCATCATCATCATCAGCATCAGCATCATCACCGACATCATCATCACCAGCAACAGCAAAGGAATTCTCATAATCGCTCCGCTCATCACGCACCCATTATCATCAGCAGCATCATCATCGTCAGCACCATCATCATACTTGCCAATAGCAGCATTGTCATCATCACCGCCACCATCATCATCAGCAAAGTCACCCGCATTGGCAGTCGCACTTCCACTATTACCACCAGCAGCAGCAGCAGCAGCATTCTCACCATCACTAAAACCATCACCATCATCAGCATCACCAGCATCATCAACAACAACAACAGTATCAGCATCAACATCAGCAACATCACCATCATCATCGTCGCCACCATCGTCATCAACAGCATCATCACCATCAGCATAATCAGCAACATCAGCATGAGCATCAGCATCGTCATCTCGATACTCATCAGCGTCATCATCATCGGCATCACCATCATCTTCGTCATCAGCGTCATCATCAGCATAACCATCGTCGTGATCAAGTCGTCATCGGCATCGTTATCGCCATTATCAGACCACCACCATCACCATCATCATCAGTATCATCGCCACCGTCCTCACCAGCATCAGTGTCATCGTCATCCCTGCCATCGCCATCGTCATTATCCTCATCATCACGTTCACCAGCATCAGCATCACCATCATAATCACCGTAACCATCAGTATCATCATCATCACGTCCACCATCAGCCATCAGCATCAGTTTCCTCAGCATGATCATCAGCATCATCATAATCACCATCATGATCATCGACAACAACACAATCAAATGCATCATCATCAGCATCACCATCATCCCCGTCATCATCGTACTCATAATAATCAGAATCACCGGGATCATCATCACCAACAACAGCAACATCAACCTCACACTAATCCTCCTCATCATCATCATCATCATCATCATCATCAGCATCATCTTCATCGATGTCGCCATCATGACCATCAAGACCACCACCATCTGCATCATCAGTATCATCATCAGCATCATCTCATCACCAACATCGTCATCATCATAATCACCACTATCATCATCATCATCATCACCATCATCATCATCATCATCATCATCATCATCATCATCATCATCATCATCGTCACCATCATCAACAACATGTAATCAACATTATCATCATCACCATCACAATCACCGTCATCGTCATCATCGTCGTCGCCGTCATCATCAGCATCAGCATCATCAGCATCATCAGCATCATCATCATCATCGTCATCCACATCCCCACCCTTACCCGCATCCTCATCCTCCTCCTACTACTCATCATCATCAGCAGCATCATCAACATCATCATCATCATCAGCAGCAGCATCATCATTATCATCATCATCCTTATGATCAGCATGGTCCCAGCTGGAGCTTCACCGGCAGGGGAAGTACTCGCGAAGACGGCGCTGGGCCACGACCACACCCCTCCTGGCGCCACACCCAGTGGATCGCCAAGCTCCCCCTCGAGGGGCGTGCGTTTCGCTGGTGCCTGGCTCCAGTCCGAAGAATTGTTCGGGGGGCAGTCGAAGCTCCTCGTCCCTCCTCCGCAGGCGGGGGGGGCGGGGGGGTGGAGGGGAGAGGGAGAGGAGGGAGAGGTGGGAGGGAGCCCGAAGCCATCTACCTCCCTCCTCCCCCCTTCCGTGAGCGGGAAGGAGTGGGGGGAGGGAGAGAGCAGTAGGAGTACGAGGAGGAAGAGGAGGAGGAGGAGGAAAAGGAGGGGGACGGGGAGGTAGAGGAGGAGGAGGAGGAGGAGGAGGAGGAGGAGGAGGAGGAGGCGGCGAAGGAGGAGGAGGAGTCAACCGCAGCGTCGTTGCCTCAATAGGCAACCTGTTCTGCTCAGCGTCGCCCGCCCCCCCGCTGAACCTTGCTACACCCAGTCTAGAATCGGCTGCATCTCTCGTGAAGTCGACAGTCGCCGTCCCACCGATAGAGCAGGATGAGGATGAGGACGAGGAGGAGGAAGAGGATCCACGGCCCCAGGAATCTCGACCCCGCCCCCAAGGAGCAGTCTTGCGCACCGGAGACTCTCGCCCAAAGTGGCCCTCGGGCCCGAGGACGGGGCCAGCGGCCGCAATCGAGGACACACGACGCACCGAAACAAATTGGCGTCGCAGAATGGGGGGGCGATTTAAGGCGCTCTTTCTGGGCCCCTGTACGGGCCCTTCTGGGGCCCTGAAGGGCCCCTGAAAGGACCCTAAAGGCTCCAACTTGGGCCCTGAAGGGCCCCAGGGGGGGCCTCGAAAGGCTCCTTCTCTGCAGCCTTCGCTGCCCTCCCATTTGATCGCCCCCCGTGACGCGACGCACCGACATGAAATCCGATCGTCGGAGATCCAGGGAGGAGGACGGGATCAGACGGACGGGGCGCTGCCTCCGCCGCCGCGCCGCCGCGCGGCTGCAGCCCCCACAGCTGGTGCGCGGCAGCCTCCGGGCAAGCGCGCTCCACTGCTCGCAGAGCAGCTGCCCGCAGATAGCCCGGATCCGCCGCGGGGGACCCACGACCCCTTGCACATCGAGATGAACACATGTTTTCCCCAGGGCCGTTGGACCTTAGGAACAGACCTCCAGACCCGCCCACTTTGTAACACCGCGGCCGCCAAATCTCCAGGTCCCCCGAATGTCCTCGAGAGTCCCGCCTCGCGCCACTCTGCATACCGCAGCCGCCAGATCCCCAGGTCCCCCGATTGTCCCCGAGTCCCGCCTCGCGCCACTCTGCATACCGCGACCGCCAGATACTCAGGTTTCCCGGGTGTCCCCGATAATCCCGCCTCGCGCCACTCTGCATACCGCGGCAGGTGCCCCGGATAGTCCCGCCTCGCGCCACTCTGCATACCGCGGCCGCCAATTTCCCAAGTTTCCCGACTGTCCCAGAATGTTCCGCCTCGCGCCGACTTACCCACTCTGCATACCGCGGCCGCCAGCTTCCCAGGTCCCCCGAGCGTCCCCGAGAATCCCGCCTCGCGCCACTCTGCGTACCGCGCCGCCAAATAACCGGGTCCCCCGAGTCTCCCCGAGTTTCCGGCCTCGGGCCGCGAAATCATAACATGACGAAGAGGTAGTAGAACATGAAAGATCATAGTACAGCAAAACACCAGAAGCTGTGACAGAACAAAGCATAACACCACATCACCTAACAGAGCGTATCTGAACAAAACATACCATTAACATATCGCAGCGTGACACACCATGGCAGAGGAGCGCATACCATAGCACAACATCACATCACATAACAGTACATAACATGACAAATCAGTCACACCATGAGATACTCTCGTTGAGCATAGCAAAGCAGAACGTCACAACGTCACATAGCATGACATGCCAGTTCATAGCAAACCACAACATAATATCGCATGTTACGATAAATCGCAGCATGCATACGCTACCGACACGTAGCATAGCATACCATCACATAATACACCATATCATAATATAGCATACCATCACATACCACATCACACCACACCAAAACAACACACATAGCATGACATATAGTATCGCAGCAACCATGACAAATCATAGCATGACACAGTGCGAAATAAGATCGTACACCATAGCATACCCTGCCATAACATAAGACCATAATATATGACACAATGGATCAAACCGACCATATGATAACACCACACCTCATAACATAACAAAACATACCATAGCATAGCTCAACATACCATGACAGCGCCTACCATGACATAACATATCATGGCAGAGCAGATAACACCGTAGCACAGCATCACAACAGATAGCATTGCATAACATATTGAATGCGACGTGCGCACCATTGGGAACAAACGCCGACGGCTTCGGTAGGAATCGATCGCAGCAAAATATGTGTTTCTGACGTTTACGAGTGAGCACTTCTCGAGTAGGAGAGCGACTGCAGTCGATTTACCCGAAAATTGATTGTTTCCCGCGCATATGGGCAAATGGGCAGACTGTCCGTAGATCCACGAACATTCTGCGTGTCTTCGTCGACTCGAAGGAAAAGATTGTGGGGCAAATTCATTATCTAGTCAATCTCCTGCTCGAACTTTGAGAGTAGTGGAACGCGCTCGGTGAGCCTCCACCACCCCGCCCGGCGACGCGAGAGGCGCCGAACTGCCAGCGCGGGAGAAGGCCCGGCTCCTCCGCGCGCGACCGCGCTCCGGCCGGGCACCTCCTCCTGGAGGTCCTCCTCCTCCTCCTCCGTCTCCTCCTCGGCCTGCTCGATGTGTTCCTAATACTTCCTCTTCTCTCCTCCTCTTCCTCCTCCGCCTGCTTGAGGTGCTCATCGTCCTTCCTCTTCCCTCGTCCTCCTTCTCCTCCTCCTCCTCCTCCGCCTCCTCTTCCGCCTCCTCCTCCAATTCCTCCTGCTCCGCCTCCTCCTCCTCTCCTCCAAATCTTCCTCCTCCCCATCCAAAATCATCCGTGGGTTGGTTGGCTTTGTGTTATCCGTCTTGATCTCGGGACCTAGAGCAGCTACAAAGCCCTTAGTCCCACCAATCCGTTTGCGTTACAGGAAACATCGGCCTGCAATCACGAGGGCACCGGTATTACTGTACTGGCTTCGCACTTCCTCCTCCTCCTCTTTCCACCGCCTGCTCCTCCAGCCACCATATGGTCATGTAGGGCACATGTGAAGGGGCCCTGGGACACACAAATAAATACGCTCTAATAAAATAATTCCCCATATTTCCGATAGTTTCTCGGATTTCTGTCTTCCCCACTACTTCCCATAATTCTCCCATATTTTCTGGGGATCGACGGTTAATTGTGTCTGTGTTTTTTTCCCTCCTGAACATGTTTGTATTGTCTTACATGTTGGGATCCGCCTCCACCAAAACCTCCCCTATACGGCACTGGCGTCCTCCTCGGAGGCGCGCGCCCGACCCGGACATCCAGTACCACTTGACTGCAATATATCGTTTCCCGAGCGGTGTGGCCAGAAAGCGCGGGCAACGGGGCTTACAGGGCAATTGTTAATACATAGGATGTTTGTTTGTTTTGCTTTCTTGTTCAATAATAATAATAATGATAATAATAATAATAATAGTACTAATAATAACAATAATAATAATACAAATAATAATACGTGATTAATGTATGAATACATGTATGCATGAACTCCTCGTTTGTGGCCAGAAAGCGCGGGCAACGGGGCTTACACTATAGAAACCACATCCGCGCGCGAAACCCATTCGGGGCGACGCACACGTATTGGTACAGTTTGTTTGTGAAACGCCGAAAGGAAATCTGAAGATTCGCATTGGTGCTCCGCCACCCTTGACATGTCGGATACGTCGGGGTCCCCTGGGCCCATTTTCCAGTCGACACGCCAGACACTGTTGCAGCATCAATGGATACGATGCCCGACAGGAACTGTTGTGCGAAGCGGGCGCCGGACGGGCAATGAGACGACGTTCGCAACAAAACGGAGCACGTACCCTCGCCTCGAGACTGGTAGCGAATCCTGTCCAAAATGTACCAGAAAAGGCTCTCGGTCATCGTCTCCATTCCCGAACCTCCGACGTCGCGTCTTTCAATTTAAGGGGTCTCTAATCTCTCGACCCCTTCCAAAGGACCCGTTCTTCCACCCCCTTGACCCCGATCGGAATTTATCCAAGGGGCTCTTACTTGTTATCGAAGAACTGGTTGGTGCGGGGCATGCACCCAGCCTTCCCTGGGATCCTTGCTCTTGGTTACTTGTTGCCTTCATCGGGCTTCTTTGGTTCTGGCTCCTTGGTTATATGGTTTCTTGGGTTCTTGGTTTCTTGGTTCCTTGGATCCCTGGTCTTGAATATTTGGTTTCTTGATTTTGGTTCCTTCGTTCCTTGGCCTTGGTTGCTTGATTCCTTGGTTTGGGTTGCTTGCTGCCTGTCTTTTTATCTTGGTTCCGTGGTCTTGGTTCCTTGGCGCTTCGGTGTCTTGGTATTGGTTCCCTGCTTCCTCGGTCTTGGTTCCTTGGTCTTGGCTCCCTGCTGCCTTGGCGCACAATGCCAGGCAACACCAAGAAGCAATGCCAAGCAATACAAAACAATGCCAAGCAATGCAAAGCAATGATATCCACCGCCGGTCAATGCCAAGCAATGCCAAGCAGTGCCAAGAAATGCCTAGCAATGCCACGTAATGCAAAGCAACGCGAAGCAATGCACAACAAGGCCAAGCAATGCCACACAATGCCAAACAATATGCGAGATAATTCCAAGCAGCGACATGCAATGCGCCCCGTTTAGGGGCTTCATGCGAACCCTACCCCTACCCCCCACGATTTCTGAGAGGGAAGGTGGGATTCACTTCGTTCGGGAGCTCCCGAGCGAAATGAACCCCACCCTCCCCCTCAGAAATCGTGGGGGGTAGGGGCAGGGTTCGCATGAGGCCCCCTACCCGTCAATATGAAACTCTCCCCTTTTAGGGATCGCGCCCGGCTCATTGTTATACGGCCCCAAAGGCCGCGATCGCACAAAAAACGCCAGCACTTAAAACACGGGTCGAATGTCCTGATTTGAACCGTTCTGGTATCGGCCCTCTGAAGAAGAACGAACAATTGAACACTGCAGAGTCGAAAACCCGGGTAGCGGGGCAGTCCAAAGCGCTTGAAACGCCTGTGAGGGACGTTTGCAAGGACGTTAGAAAGGATGCCTGTGGAGCTAGCAAGCTCGGGAAAGGAGCTCGCAAGGTCTGGGAAGGGAGCGTCTCAGGAGCTTCCAGGGAGCTTCGAAGGAGCTGCGGAAAGGTTTCTGACCCGCGCATGGGGAACGATAAAGAAAACGCTCCCGGAACACACTACAGCTTGAAGCAAATTGCTGCGGGGATCCTTGACCGGCGCCCGAAAGAGCTCCTGGCCCACCCTGCGCTGCCGGCTTCTAATCTGAAGCCCTCTCAGCCCTCAGAGAGCTATCAGGGAATTTAGGCAGGCGAATTGGGTAGAGGATCGGAGACGGTTGGGCTCGAAATCCTGGGACTAGATACTCAGTTGTAGTCCCGATGTCGGCGCTAAAAAGTTCACTGAAGTTGTTTCAGGTAGCATGGGGGAGCACATGACTTCCACAATGCATTCGTTTCGTCCTTCTCGACTATATCCGGGACTAGTACAGTGGAGAGCGTGACGAACTTCTTGTGTCGGCGCGGGTTTCCCTCTCCCCCGCGCCCCGTCCCTGGCGCGCGGAGAAGGCCGGGGCCGACGCCGGAAGCACCAGCACGATGTGCGGGGACGGATGTTTAGAGCTGTTTTCGACTCTCGATTCGGCAAGAATGAGCGTTTGGCAGCGCGGACCCCAAGCAGCAGGTCACTGGATCTGTTTCGTTCTTGCATCGGCCCTCTGCAGAAGAACGAGCAGCTAAACATGAACTCGCGGGGAGCGCCACGAATTTCTGGGGTCGGCGCTGGACTCCCCTCACCGCGCCGCGTCCATAGCGCGCAGAGAGGGCCTGGGGCGGCGCCAAAAGCGCCGCCAAGGCGTGCGTGGAAGGATTTTGTATGGCTGCCTGCTGGTGTTCGACCTTTGATTTCGGTAACCGAGCTTATACACCGACGCTTTTTTCCAGCCCTGCACTGAAATTTGCACCGGAAAGCGGGCCCCCGTGTATACGCGACCCTGGTGTATACACTTCATGTTTCCCCAGGGAACTAATAAAAAAAAAAAACAGCAAAAACGTATACACCACACCACCCCGACGTCGCACCCAGCCTTCAAAAGTCCTGGGGCTGAAGAACAGCCCGCCACTGGTAATCTATATGTTCCCGTGTCCGATTACTTCGGCAAGAATGAACGTTTGGCCGCGTGGCGCAACCTACGTGGTGCGATTTGCGAAGTGTACCCTGCGCAGGATGCAATCTATTTGGTGCGGCATATTTGATGTGAGCTGTGGGCTCTAGGGTTGCAGTGATGACGCTGGCGCTGGTGATGACACTGGTGCTGGCGCGCAAATATTATGAAACGTTTGTCGGGGAACGCACACGTGTGTTTGATGGTTATTGGGTTAAGCCTGGAATGAAGTGGTCATGGAACACACACACACAGTTTGGGAGAACATTGACATGCGCGCGGCGACGCGCGCGCATGGCCCGCATAGTCGCTGTTTGCAATGTAAGATGTGGCCGGCCAACTCACGTATTGCACCAACACATGAGAACAACATCGTGTTATATGACAGGAGCGACAAGGGGGCGATCCCGGGAGTGGCTGGCACGTTTTGAATTGGCGGTTATGATGACCGGCCGTGCAGACTGAACAGAAAACATCGCATGCGGACGGGAAAGGGTAAGTCCAGAGGAAAAAGGGAGATAGTTTCACCTGTTGCACGCACCCTAGGATGAGGTTCTTGTTATTATTTGAACGGGAGCCGATCCTCTTTCTCCTGCTCCGCATCCCTCCCTCTTCCTGCCCATCCTCAACCAAAGTGGCCTACTCACACTCACACTCGCTCAGACCAGGTCATGCGCATATCCGCTCACACTCCGACTCACTCGCACCCAAGCTCACCCATACTCTGATTCAACGGCACCCAATCTCATTCGCAATCAAACTCATTCACACTCAAAAGCGTTCACACTCACTCTCAGCACATTCAGACCCACCATTCACTCTCGGACCCAGGCACAATCGGTCTAACTTACACTCCTTTACCGCTCGTGCAAATTGGTGCCCCAATGCCCATCGAGATATAGACTGCGTAACCGATCACCCCTGGTAATAATCCCCGGGGGATGATAAAGTTCGGGGGCATGGCAGGAATAATCAACGACTTTCCCGGCGGATGATGATGCCGCTGCTGCTGATGATGATGATGATGATCCTGGGCGTTCGTGTAAACTGACCCTGTAGATCTTGGCACAAGACTGACTTGAGAGATTACGAGTCTCGTGGCTACAACTTGCCTGCGCGAGAAAAGTCCTTGGCGTTCCTGGCCGAGAAACCTCTTTTGCGCACGACCACGAACCACTCGCCCATGCAGGCGCGGCACCCTTTGGAGCCGCCCTTGCACGGGAGGCACTTGGTGCAAGCCTGGGCGGCAACGCTTGCTTCCTCGAGGGTGGCGTGCTTCGGCTCGACCGCCGTGGGGTCCTTGAAGGGTTTGGACTTGGCCTTGGTCTTGGCTTTGGCGTTTGCCCTGGCCTTGGCCAAGTCGTTGTCGCATGGCCCTGCCACACGCTCGTGACTGCGGAAGCTGAAATGGTGAGACCACCATTGCCATGCTCAGCGTGTTTGATGATGTCGCTATCCAACATAATATGATAACAACTTCGATTCGAAACTTCCCCAGGGGATTAACAAGTTCGGCCTCCGCGCCTTTCTCCACAAGTAAATCCGACTGACACGGGATAATAAATACTCAGAGGGGAACGGGGGGCTATGTTTTATTATCGGGGGCAGTCGGTTACTACGTGGACATCCCAAGGAAAGGGACGCCACGGGTGGGGACACTCCAGGGTTCGCGCCCAGCTTGTTGGCATTTGCGTGAGGTTCGGACCCCTTTGTTTTCGGAGCAGATTTTGAAGATGTCTCATGCAAGGCGTTGGCTTCAGCACCCCCGGGGGAGGGCACCAGGGGTGGGAACGCCCCAAATGTCGTGCCCTGATTGTTGGGATGTCTCGGGCGGTTTGCCCACTTTCGTGCCCAACGTCCTACGCTTCCAAAATAATTTGCGAAGGGTGTCTCAGGCGGTGGTCCAATGCTCACCGCGATATAGCAGGCGTGACACTTGGGCACCCCATGGTGGAGCCGACAGGAGTGGGGACGCTCCAGGGTCCGCGTCCACGTTGTGGGGATGTATCAGGCGGTTGGCTGCTTTTGCCACCCACCCGATGTTTCTCTTTTTTCGTGGCCCAATGCCCGCAGCGATGAAGCAGGCGAGGCACTTGGGCACCCCAAGGGGGAGCCGCCAGGGGTGGGGACATTCCAAGGTTCGCGTCCAATGTGTGGGGATGTTTCTGGCGGTGTGCCCGTTTCTGCCCCCCCTCTGGATTTATTTTTTGGGTGCGCTGGGGTGCCAGAGTGTCACCGCAACAAAAACACGCGTGGCATCTGGGCACCCCGAGGCGGAGCCGGGATGGGGTGGGGACACTTCAGGATTCGCGCGCAAGTTGGGTGCGGATGTCTCATGAGTTTTGTTTGTCTCTGCCCCACACACATTTGAATCGTGTGCGTGCTCCTCGTCCACTCACTCACCCACTTCCTTTCCTTGCTCTACGTCCGGACGCATTCATTCGCACCCAAAAATGCTCACCAATACCCCTATCTTTCACTCAGACTCACTCATCACATTCAGAGTCGATCGAGCCCATAAGTATTCGGCATACTCAGACTCACACATACAGGCTCGTTCATACCTAGACTCGCTGGAACTCAGACTCAGTCGCACCCAGACCAACTCACACTCAGACTCATTCACACTCAATCTCGCCGGCCCTCAGACTCACTCAAACCCACACTCAGGGTCACTCACATTCAGACTTGTATTCACTCTAAAACTCAAACTCGCCCACTGTCAGATTGATTCGAATTCCGGACCCATCCGCACTTCGACCCGTTCGCAGTCATAGTCACTCATACTCAGACCCACTCGTATTCACACTGACTGTCACACGCGAGCTCAGTCATAGCCGGGCCCACTAACACTCCGACTCGTTCACACTCAGATCACCCACGTCCATACTCACCCGCACTAAGGCTCCCACGCGTGGCTGCCGAGATATAGCCAGCGTGGCACGCTGGCACCCCACGCGACGGCAGGCGCCGCGAGTAGCACTCCAGACCGCAGGCGTAGAAACGATACGCGCGCTTGCCTGAGTTGCTGCGGGAAGAACGGCGAAAGACCCCCCCTCGCTCTTCCAGTTGGTTTCCCCTCGTCTCTCTCGACATACGTCCAGAGGATGGAGGATGAGGAGGAGGAGGAAGCGGAGGAGGAGGAGGAACAGGACGTCACTGAAGTCACCACTGTCGTCGTCATTGCCGCGCGTGTCGTCTACGCAGACTCGCTCTCACACCCAGACGCTCATAGACAGAGGTCCTCGGCGAAACGTGACAGGAGCATGAAATGGACAAATGGGGATCTCCGCGTCGAGTAGTTCTCGCGCCAGGAGACGCGCCAGATGGACGGAGAGGAGGAGGAGGAGGAGGAGGAGGAGGAGGAGGAGAGGAGGAGGAGGAGGAGGAGGAGGAGGAGGAGGAGGAGAGGAGGAGGAGGGAGGAGGAGGAGGAGGAGAGAGGAGAGGAGGAGGAGGAGGGGAGGGAGGAGGAGGGAGGAGGAGGAGGAGGAGGAGGAGGAGGAGGGACCCGCGCGGTGCAAAACGGGAGCGCGCCCGGAGACGACAGGCAGTGCAGCGTGCGGCCACGGGGGCGACCGCGGGCGCCCGCCGCACGAACCCCGAGACGCCAGCCCGCGCACCGGGGCGCGCCGCTGGGCGACAACGGGCGGCCGCCGCGCGAGACGCCGGGGAGAGAGCGACAACAGCGCCAGGCCGCGCGGGGCGGCCCCGAGGCGGCCGCGGGCGGCCCCCGCGCAGGCCTGGGGGGAACCGGCCCGGCTTGGTGGTCCCCAAACGTGGTGGTGAGAACACCCGGTGGTGAGTTTGGGGCGATTTGGGTAGTGGTTTTCGAGCGCTGGCTGGCCCAGGAGACGCAAAACCTCGTGGCGACCGCGTGTCCCCAAACCTGGTGGCGGCCCAGAATTATTTTTGGGGGGAATCGGGGTCACCACCGGGTGTCTCACCACCTGGTTTGGAGACCACCAACCAGCGCCGCGAGGCGGCCGCTGGGCGGCCGCGAACACCCGGGGAGAGCCCAGCGGCACGGGGCGGGCCAGCGGGCGGACCAGCGGGGCCCAAACAGCCTGCCAGGGCGGAGCTCGATCTCAGAGCGCGGAGGAGACTTGTTGTTTTCCCTCCTCCTCCTCCTCCTCCTTCTCCTCCCCCTCCTCCTCCTCCTCCTCCTCCTCCTCCTCCTCCTCCTCCTCCTCCTCCTCCTCCTCCTCTCCTCCTCCTCCTCCTCCTCCTCCTCCTCCTCCGGACCTCCGACCTGGCTTCGGTTCTTCCGAGACATCCCCGCGCGGCGCCGGCGGGGCACGACGTCGGCCCCGCCCCGCCCCGCGCCCCGCCCCCGCCCCCTTGTGACGCCCGGTATCGCCGGCCCAGGAATCAAAAAACGCTCTTCAGGCGCTGCATGGGAAAAAGAGGATCCTGGTGGAAGTGGCTCCTCGATCACGGTGCGCTCCCCGGGACCAGCTCTTCCTCCTGCGCAGCTTTCGCATGGCCCCTGGGCCCTGAGGGGGCCCTGGGGGCCCGAAGCCGGCGAGAAAATCTCCCGGGAACCCTGTCCTCCAAGACTCACGTCCTCCACACTTTGCGTAGGGGATCGACTACAGAATTGATTTACCCCAGATATCATTTTCTCGCAGAAGCCATAACAAAAACGGTCGTACAATGTTCGTAGATCGAGGAAGGTACGCCTTCTTCATGGATCCGATGAGGAAATCAATGTTTGTGTAAATAATTTCTGTAGTCGATCCCCTACTCGAGCACTGAACGATTCGGGCCTGTGGGCCAGCTGGCCGCGACGCTCCTCCACGGACTGCAGTGCCCCAGCGGCGACTTGCCCGGCGTCTGCGTCTGGTCGGGCGGTGGCAGCCGCTCCTGGGCCATCTCTCCGTCGTGCGCGGGAGCAGACGACGACGACGACGACGACGACGACGACGACGACGACGACGACGACGGCGGCCACGACGACGACGGCGGCCACGACGACTACGACGACGACGCAGACGACGACGGCGACGACGAACACCGACGAAAGACAAGCGACGAGCGAGCAAGCGAGCGAGCGCGCTCGAGGCGTCAACCCTGCCGAGGGGGGAGAGGGGCGGGCCGTCATCGGCTGGCTCGGGGGCCGTGGCCCCTCAGGCGCTCAGCTTCAGCGGCAGCACGCCGCCGTCGACACGCGTGTGTTTGGGCGCCTCGCCGGTGTGCTTGTGAGGCCTGTCCGTCTGAATCGTCGTTGTCGTCGCTGCTAACAAAGCGCTGCCTCATGACTCACGGTCTTCACCGTGCGACACAATCGTGTCTCGAGCATGGCTCCTGAAGCTGTGGATCCGCGAGGCGTTTCATCCAGACCGTCTGCTTCTGAAGCCTTCCCGTCTTCACGTGCCTCCCTCGCCAAGCGCCACGTTGAGGTCAAAACCGAGGTTGACGGAAATTATATTTGACTCTGCATCCTCGTTCCTCCTTCACCTTCTTTGTCATCATTGCCTCAATGTATTACGTACGCTCAGCTGGGCGTTCGCAGCCGTGCTGCTCTGTTGCACCAGACATATTCAGCTCTTGGGTGGCCTGTATTGACTTTGGCGACCGAGAAACTGAGCCAGATCTGGGCGCGTGTTGATCAGTTTCAAGAGTTTCATACGGAGCACAGCGAAATATGGCAATGAGTACCAGATCGACAGCATCTTAATCCCCTCGGCACGAACAACGGGGTTGAACGAGGCGACGACGTCATCGAACTCCTTCTCGGGCGTATGGTGCTCTCCACGGCTGCACCGCCTTTTCTGCATGAGGATGTCCGTATTGTCCGTGAGCTGCAGGGCTGTCATCTGCATCGCTGTGAGGCGCATGCCTCTGTTGTTGCTGCCTCGTGCGAGAGGTGCCTGCGGCTGTTCGCCCCGGGCGGGACATGCGCCCCGAACCGCCGGCATGTTCATTTGTTGGCTGCGCTGGCTGCGCTGGAGCTGTACTGAACAGGTCTGAACTGTGCCTGATGGTCCTTTTGGTTCCAGGTGTCTGGTCCCGCGTGCCTGTCTCTCTCTCTCTCTCTCTGTCTCCCTGTATCCTTTTATCTCCATCTCTTGTATGTGTTGTCTCTCTCTCTCTCTCTTTCTCTCTCTCTCTCTCACTTTCTCTGCTTCTCTCTCTGCCTCGCTCTCTCTCTCTCTCTCTATCTCTCTTCCTCTCTATATGTAGAAGCAAATAAACAGATGTGCGTGTATATATATATATATGTATCATACATAGATACATATACACACATATATATATGTATAGCTATATGTAAAGCATCATCATCACCACCACCATCATCATCACCATTGGATATACATATACACATATAGCCCCGTGAGCCCCTGGAGCTCCGTCGGGCCTCGAGCCCACGACGAACGACGACGATGAACGACGACCGAACGAACGAACGAACGAACGACGACGACGATGACGACGAGCGACGGCCGCCCTCCCTTGGCAACAAGAAGGCGGGGGGCAGCCCAGACCTGAGGCGTGGTCACCTGCTCACCACCGCCGGCTGAGCTTCTGAGGGACAGGGACGATCGGAGAGGGCACTTGTCGGGCGGACTGCGCTCATCACCTGCCCTCCCGGACAACCTGGGGGAGAACGATCGCTTCGAAATGCGAGGCTTTCGGACGACTCCGCTTGCGAGGCCAATTCTTATACACCACCACCGCCCGCAACAGTAATTTACCGCAAAAAGGGTTAGGGGCAGCGTCATGCCAGACGACGCTGCGACGCCACGGCGAAAAGGAGCGCGGCGCAGCTCGCAGGCGCCGTGGCACGGGGAGTTCCTGAAGCAGAAACAGCACTTCTCGGTGGTGGTGTATAAGAATCGCTCCTCGTGGTAACCAACATTTTATACGCCACCACCGCGCGTGCTTTGATGAATTCTGTTTCGGTCCTTCAGGGAGAGGGGGCAGCCCGGTTGCCGTTGGCGGCGGGAGGGGGACTGCGGGCTTTTCACCAAAGCAAAACTGCACCAAATCGCATCGCAGATTATTATCGATCTTGGTGGTGGTAGTCATATACTGTGCTCGGATCCGTTGGCCCTCGGCGACTCTCCAGCATCGGGATGCCTTCCAGCGGCTGCGCCTCGCCGAGAGCATTCCAGGGGGGGTCCGGATCACCCCGAACGGCCGTCGGAGGCCCGAATTTTGACCCAAAAGCCACCAGGGAGCTGGCTCAGGGGGGAGGCGTCCCCGCACGCTCCTGAGCGGTGGGGGGGAATCGGGCACCCCTCGGCGATCAGTGTGCGATTTGGGGTCGACGCGCCCGCCGTCTGAACAAATCCACCCCCAGCAGTGCCCCTGAGTTATCACCACCGCATTATTTCCTCTGCGTCGGCCTCCCAAGGCCCAGGTGCCATGTGCGCGGGGAGGAGGAGGAGGAGGAGGAGGAGGAGGAGGAGGAGGAGGAGGAGGAGGAGGAGGAGGAGGAGGAGGAGGAGGAGGAGTAGGAGGAGGAGGAGGAGGAGGAGGTAAGAGAAGGGCACGCGCGCGCGTCGCTCGTGCGCGCGCTTCTGAAGGTCAGCCAGGGCGCCAGCAGGGCCGAGCAGAGCTCCGCGAGCGAGTCCTGCCGCGTCCTCAGCTCGTCGATCTTGCTCTCCACGCCCTCCGCCTCTCGGTGGAGCTTCCAACGTGATTTATGGTGTCGTCTGACGTTCTGTTGCCCGAGGTTGTGGGATCTCGGATGCACAAGGCCATCTTCAGATTGTCTGAAGTCTCTCGGATGGTCTCTAAGGGGAGGGTGGGACTGGAAGGTGGGAGGGATGAGGAGGATTCTGGAAGAAAGGGGGGTGTTTGTTCTTGGATATCTAAAAACGATGTTGGGGTGTCCTCGCCCGCCCCTCCTCTCTCCTTCTCTCCTCCTTTCCTCCTCCTCCTCCTCCTCCTCATCCTCCTCCCCTCCTCCTCCTCCTCCTCCTCCTCCTCTCTTCCTCCTCCTCCTCCGCCTCCGCCTCCGCCTCCGCCTCCTCCTCCTCCTCCTCCTCCTCCTCCTCCTCCTCCTCCTCCTCCTCCTCCTCCCTCCTCCCCTCCCACTCCCCCTCCCCTCCCCTCCTCCTCCCTCCTCCTCCTCCTCCTCCTCCTCCTCCTCCTCCTCCTCCTCCTCCTCCTCCTCCTCCTCCTCCTCCTCCCCCGTGCAGTACGGATTCAGTGGGTTTAAGCCCACGCAGGGACTTTGAGTGTTGCCTCCGCTGAGGCATCCAGTTTTGTTTTCCTGTGTCTGACTTGCAGTCCCCAGCGTTTCTAGGTCTTGGTCTTGGTCCTCCTCCTCCTCCTCCACGTCCTCCTCCTCCAGCTCCTCCTCCTCCTCCTCCTCCTCGTCCTCCTCCTCCTCCTCCTCCTCTTATGTTTTCTTCTTTTTGTTTGCCATCGACGGCACCTCAAACCTCGCTGCAAAAGGAGGCTAAACTGCAGCGGGCAAAACGAAATTACCCCTGGAACAAGGGTTAAACCAGGTCCAGGTCCAAAACCACACCATCGTTGTCTGGGTGCTTCACCGAGCGAGTGTTGTTCCAGTTCCTGTTGCCTGTCCTCGTCGAGGGTTTACATATTCTCCCAATATTGAAAACCTGGGGCCCCGACGAGTAAGAACGACAACTCAAACAAAAGAAACTATGAGAGTGATCTGACGCTTCGAGCGCAAGCACCTTATTCTGGAACCGGTCCAAAACAACCAAATCGAGTCTAGAATGGCCTTGGCATGCGCCTCCTTCAGGGCGGTCCGCACAGTCCGCTCCTCGCAAGCACACAACGCAACGCCAAGAATTGGACATCAACTGCGTCCACTGCCACCTGCGCGGGTCTCTCGTGGAGGCAGAGGAGACAGGAGGAGGAGGAACACGCTCCACACCAAGGAACTCCACACGAGGGAAGAGAGGGAGGACGGCGGCAGCGACATCCATGACTGCCCTGGCCATCGCAAACTTGCGATCTATCCCCTCCATCTCCCACTGTGAGAAAGCAAGGTGCCACTTCACAGACCTCTTCGCACCGCAGTCGGCAAAGTAGTTACCTCGGCTGACGAACCTCTCACGCAGGGAAACCCCTTGCTCATCCAAACCCTGGTGGGCATCAACTTTATTGAGACTGGCCAGCTTTGGGCCAGCCCCTGAAACGCCAAAAGAAATGAAGCCAGAATGTGCGAGTTTTGGCGACAAGAACCGATCAGGTCCCTGCAAGACAAGGTCGACAACGTTCTTACAATCACTGAAACCTTCCGCAACATCCTCAAGTGCGAAATTCAGGGCCCCGAGCGCTCCAAACTCAGCAACTTGCGGCATCTGGGGACACGGTTGCCACACGGGCGCAGACACCTCGCACATGAGGTTGGCGTTGCTATCTACCATGGCCAAACACCAGTCAGCCCTGGACAACTCGGAAGCAGGCTGTTTGAAACAACTGCCGCCCAAAGACACTTGACCACAGAGCCCCAGATCAGGGTGCGTGGAGATGGGCTCAAGAGCTCGAGGGGGCGGGGCTTCACCAACAGACCAACCCACGCGAACCACTCCATCCTTACACGGTCGAGCCAACTCATCTCCAGGGTGCTGAAAAGGCACCATGCATAAACAGGGCGCACTCATATACCTTAGCCTTGGCATCTAACGCTTCAGCAACAATATTCGAATCCACAACCTGCTCACGGACTTCAGCACATCCCTTACACTGCCATAGCCGACGCCAGGTCGTTCCCGATCCTGCTCCAGAGAGATCACAAGCAACTGATATCTGGCACACAGCATGATATGCAGCAGACCTAATCCAAATAGCTTTGGACGCGAGGGCTCTCATAATGGACTTGTCCTTGTAGGAGACCTTGCTGGGCCTAGGCCGACAGGCCTGGATTGAGCTGCCCGGCGAGCCCCACGCCAGCCAGCTCTGGCACTGAGCGGGGCGCGAAAGAGCTCGCGATCTGCCCGAAGGACTCTTCCCCAGCCAGCTCAATTACTGAATAAAGAGGAGGGAAGATAGTGGCACGCATACTGGCAGAGCGCGGCCTCAGATGGATCAGAAAAGGTCGGCGACGGCTGGGGCCCTGCTGCCCTGGCCACCGATGATTGCAACCGCGAAGTTGAGGACGTTCCCGACGACGCAGCTGATCAGCTGAAATCTACATCACCAACCTCCTCACACAGCCGCTGCCGCCGTGGAAGGGGGCCTCACCCGACAGCGCTTCTTCGACACGCTGACGGACGTCAGGCTCAGCCGCAGGCGCCGAAACAAGTGCTGCTGGACGAGCGCCACCAGAGGCCTCAGCTCCCTCGCCGCCTGGCGGCGACTCTGCTGGGCTCCCCGCCTTGACGCCGTCGTCGGTCTTCCGCTTCTTGGTGAGACCCGTGAAGATGTCCGACGCGAGCTTCTTGATCGCCTCGGACATCGTGACCTTGCGCACCTCGAACTACGTCTCGTCCTCGGCAGAAAGATCAAACTCCTCGACGCCGCGCTACACATCCAGCAAGCGGTCGAGGTCGAAAAATGTCTCGAAATCGCCTCTGTCCTCGACAAAACCCTTGATATCCACATTCGAAGGCGGGACGGCCTCTGCTTTGGACAACGCCTCAGCCGCAAGCTCCTGCACGCACTCCTGGTACAATCTGTCGGCCGAGGGAAGCTCCTCCTTGCACTGCAGAACCAGGCGCTTCTGATCGTCCAGCTCAGCCCGCCACCTCGTGAGCTTCGCGAACTCGTGTTCCAGCTTCCTCTCGCGCTTCTTGGCGTCGGCCGCCAACTGCTGAGACCTCTGATGAAAGGGGCACCTCCTGAGCTTTAGGCGCCCCCATGGACTTGTGAGCTGGTCGTAGTGTTTGGTTGGCGCAGCAGCGTGGTCCCCAGCCTTGAGCAACAGCTGGGCGAGAGTGTGGGCCTCCTGCTCTGAGATAGCGGGCACTGGTCCAGCAGGGAGGGCAGTGCGCTGGCTCGAAGAGAGAGTTGGAGAAGGCTGCTGAGCATCATGTTTGTTTTTGCCTCCTCCCTTGCCACCCTTCCCTTTGGACACATCCAGCTGCATAGGCCAAACACCTCGTGGCGCGTGGGGAACCGTGGGCTGGACATCGATAATCTGCGACTTGCAGTGCTTCCACCAAGTGTAATACATGAAAACATGGCACGGGCGAAAATTTACCTCCTCGGCCTCGTCCTTTGGTTGACCATTCCCCTCCGTCCTGACCGCGATCTTCGAGCTGAACCCAAGGCTGGCGAGAGAAAAGAGAAAGCACCATCGAACCTGGCAGGGCAGATACCGTAAACGAAACGTACTGAAACCAAATGTCTGGCGGGCGAACGCCAGGGGACTGGACTGGTGGGCGAACAGCAGGAGAACTGTGGGGGCCGCACATCCCCCTCACCAGGGCGCAAATCCTCGAGCAATGCCTCCGGACTTGAGCCAACATTGCTACGGACCACCTCCTCCTCCCCCTCCTCCTCCTCCTCCTGCACCTCCGGCTCCACCTCCATCTCCTCCTCCTCATCATCCTTGTCCTCCTCGTCCTCCTCCTCTTCCTCCTCCTCCCCCTCCTCCTCCTCCTCCTCCTCATCTTCTCCCTCCGCCTCCTTTTCCTCCTCTGCATCATGTTTTTCCCGTTTGTCGTTGTTCTCGTCCTCGTCGGGGACCTGGGGGGTGATCCGAGATCAAGCGCCACATCCTCATCTGTCTCCTCCTCTTCGCCCTCCTCCTCCTCTTCCTCCTGCTCGAGGCCGGGAGATTGTGGAGCCCCTCGTTGTCGTCATACGGTTGTTATCGAGTGAAACGCTCTTTCACCCTTAACACGTTCTCGTTATATCGTTCTCTAGTGTTCTCTCTCTCTCTCTCTCTTTGTCTCTCTCTCTCTCTCTCTTTGTCGATCTCCTGCACCAGGCCAATGAATGCCGATGCGATACAAATCCATTCCGAACCAACACCAATGCCAATGCAATGCCAATGGGGGAATCCTTTCGTTCGGTAGATTTCAATAAGAATACTTTGTGGATGATGTCATTACGAATCCTTCTTCGGAGGATTTCAATAGCGATGCTTATGTGTAGGGTTTCGATAAGGAGCCTCATGTGGAGGGTTTCACTGAGAATCCTTCATGTGGGAGGATTCAATCGGACTCGTTCTTGTGGAGGGTTTCAGTAGGAGTCCGTCTGCGGAGGGAGCCATTAGGACTGGCCAGCGCAATGCCAACGCAATGCCAAAGCTTTGCCATCGCAATGCCAAACCAATGCCAAGGCGATCCCAATCCAATGCCAATACAATGCCAATGGGGGGTCTCCTTTGTGGTAGATTCCAAAAAGAATCCTACCTGTGGAAGGTTTCGATTTGAATCCTTCCGTGGGGGGTCTCAGTATGAATCTTTTATGTGGGGGGCTTTCAAAAGGATCCCTTCTTGTGGAAGGTAAGGAATCCTTCTATGGTGGGAGCCATTCGAACTCGCCAGCGCAATGCCGAAGCAGTGCCAACGCAATGCCAAACCAATGCCAATGCAATGCCAATGGGGGGAATTGTTTGTGGTAGATTTCAATAGCAATCCTTCTAAGAACCCTTATTCGGGTGATTTCAATCGGAAACCTTCTATGGAGGGCTTCGCCTGGAACCCTTCTGATGAGGATTTCAATGTGAATCCTTCTTGTGGGGAGGATTCAATAGGCATCCTTTTTTGTGGGAGTGTTCACTAGGAATCCTTATGTGAAGTGTTTGAGTAGGACTCGCCAGCGCAATGTCAACGCAATGTCAACGCACTGCTAACGCACTGCCATCGCAATGCCAAGGCAATGCCAATGCGATGCCAAACTTGCCAGACCAATGCCAATGCAATGGCGATGGCGGGATTTCTGCCTTCCAACAGATTTCACTAAGCATCCTTATGTGAATGATTTGGTTACGAATCCTTCTTCGGAAGATTTCGATTGGAATCCTTCCGTGGAGGGTTTCGATTGGAATCTGTCTGTGGGGGGGGGGTCACTTTCAATCCTTCATGTGGGGGCTTTCAAAAGGACCCCTTCTTGTGCAAGGCTGTCATAGGAATCCGTCTGCGGAGGGGGCATTGGAACTCGCCAGCGAAATGCCAACGCAATACCAACGCAATGCTAAATCAATGCCAAAGCGATCACAATTCAATGCCAATGCAATGCCAATGGGTGAAATCGTTTGTGGTAAGATTCGAGAAGAATCCTTCTATGGAAGGCTTCGAATGGAATCCTTCCGTGAGGGAGTTCAATGTGAACCCTTCCTGTGGGATGCTTCAATCGGAATCCTCCTTCTTGTGGGGGGTTCAACAGGAATCATTATGCGAAGAGAGGTGTTGGAACTCGCCAGCGCAATGCCAGCGCAATGCCAACGCAGTGCCAACGCAATGCCAAACCAATGCCAAAGCGATCCCAACCCAATGCCAATGCACTGCCAATGGGGGAAATCCTTTGTGGTAGATTTCAATAGGAATACTTATGTGAAGGGTTTCGCATGGAATCCTTCTGTGGCGGGTGTCAATATGAACCCTTCTTGTGGAGGGTTCCAATATGAGTCCTTCTTGTAAAAGGTTTCGAACGGAGTCCTTCTGTGGAGGGTTCCATTAGGTCCCGCCAGCGCAATGCTTGCGAAATGCAAGCACACTAGCAACGCACTGCCAAGCGCAATGCCAACGCAATGCCAATGCGATGCCAAACCATTGCCAAACCAATGCCAATGCAATGCTAACGGGGGGTTCTTTCGTTCGGAGCATCTCAATATCAATCCTTTGCGGGTGATTTCAATAGGAATCAATATGTGGACGATGTCAGTAGGAATCATTCAGTGGAGGGTTACGATAGGAACCATTCTGTAGAGGATTTCGGTCTGAATCCTTCTTGTCGGGGCGTTCAGTAGGAAACCTTCCGGGGGGGGAGGGCAGATGAAGCCACGTCGCATTCCTCTTTTTTGTCGCCGATCCCCCTCCCCAAACAAAAAATATAATAAACAACTGTTCCGTTATTTTTTTGGGGAGGGGGGAGAGCAAAAAAAAAAGGAGGAGAAGGAGGCGCAATGCTTGCGAAATACAAGCACACTAGCAACGCACTGCCAAGCGCAATGCCAACGCAATGCCAATGCGATGCCAAACCATTGCCAAACCAATGCCAATGCAATGCCAACGGGGGGTTCTTTCGTTCGAAACATCTCAATATCAACCCTTCTGCGGGTGATTTGAATAGGAATCCATTTGTGGAGGATTTCAATTGGAATCATTCAGTGGAGGGTTTCGATAGGAATCCTTCTGTAGAGGACTTCACTCTGAATCCTTCTTGTGAGGGCGTTCAATAGGAATCCTTCCAGGGGGGAGGGCAGATGAGGCCACGTCGCATTCCTGTTTTTTTCGCCGCCGAACCACCCCTCAAACAAACAAAAATAAAAACAACTGGTCCGTTTTGTTTGTTTGAAAGAAAAAACAGGAGGAGGAGGAGGAGGAGGGGGAGGCGGAAGGAGAGGAGGACGCCACGGAGTACGCACACCACTGAACGACGCACGCGCGAACTCAATGTGAAAGCCTCGCGCGCGCGCCCTGGAACCCCAAGGGGCTCCACAATCCCCCGGTCTCTACTCCTCCTCCTCCTCCTCCTTCTCCTCCTCCTCTCCAATACCATCTGCTAACTATGAATAATTCCTCCGCTCTCCCATCGAAGATGGTCACGATGGCCCTTTCCGCGTACTTGTTGGAACACGCCAGATTTCAAAAGGTTGATCGTTTTTTGCTGTCTCAGAACGGTGCTGCCTCTGCAGCGCTGGCCTCATGTTGGGATCGGCGTTTTCTCTCGTCGTTCAGAGTGGCGCTACCGCTCCAACGCGAGCCACTATTTTCTAGATTTGAATATTTATTACTCGTTGCCGCCAGGCTCATTTCCCCCCCTACGCCTTCCCTTATCCCTGTTGTTCGTTCTCGTCCTCCTCCCACTCCTGCTTATTTTACTTACGGAATGCCGCCGGGCATTCCTGCGACTATATTGGCCCGCGTGCGCGGCCGCGCGGATTGTATGTTGCCCGCGGAGCCGCCGAGCCGTCGTCGGAGCTCGGACCCTTTCCGGAGGGTGGGGGCGGGAAGTATACCATACACCGATTGATCCTGAACCCACCAAGGGAGGAGGGGAGGTGAAACTTCCCCGGCTTCCGTCAGGCCGGTCTCGCCATAACTCCCCAGAGTCGTCGTTGCCCAGGCAGTACTACTCAGTGTTCCACCTGCCTCCGTTTGAACAGGTGTGGTACGGATCGCTACTTTCCTCCTGCTCCACGTCGCTGTCGTTGTCCTCGTCGTCGTGCTCGTCTTCCTCCTGTCGTTGCAGAAATTCGGAAGCACGGATACGCGTGGGTCGCTGGCCTATAGCCATCCCGCTCTGGCGCGCCTCTTGGGGGTCGCGGCCGGACAAGAGCGCTTCGATGTCTCCTGAGGGGACCAGCGCGCGGACCAGCGCGCCCACGCCTTCGTAGTGGCGGTCACCGCTCACGTCTCTGGGCGCCATCACGTCGTGCGGATGTTTGTTCGCGGGGTTGCCGGGTCTGGATATGGCACCCTGCTGGCGAAGGTCTCTGCGATTGCCTGCCCCTCGGCAAGCATGGCCCTGACGAGGTCCAGCCCCTAGAGTGCGGCGCACATGATGAAGATGGGCTCGCCCTGCTCGTCGCTTTTCTCTGAAGGGGCCCAGGGACGCAAATAAATACACACAAATCCAAACAACAACGCATATGTGTTTGTATTTCGGGGGTTTTCGTCTTCCCCTCACCCTCCCATATTTTCAAATATTTCTGGGGGATCGACGATCACTTGTGTCTGTGTGTTTCTTGCACTCATGATTATCGTCTTTATATCGTGGCCCTCGCAGCTCAGCTGATGGCTCTCGGAGTCTTGCTCGCGGCCCTCGTTGCTCGGCTGGTTGCCCCCGTAGTTCGGCTGGTAACCCTCGTCGCTGCGCTGGGGGGCACTAGAGGCTCCGCTCGTGGACTGCGTAGGTCACCTGGTGGCGCCGGCAGCCCCGCTGGAGTCCCTTGCTGCTCAGCTCGTGTCCCGCGTAGCTCAGCTCGCTGGTGGCCCTCGTAGTCCAGCTGATGGTCCTCGTTGCCCAGCGCGTGGTCCTCGCAGCTCGGCTCGCCGACCTCGAGGCTCAGCTCGTGGACCACGCACCTTTGCCCGCGTAGCTCAGCTGGTTGCTCTCGTAGCTCAGGTGGCCCTCGGAGATCTGCTGGTAGCCCTCGCAGCTGTGGTTGTGGCCTTCGTAGTTCAGCTGGTGGTCTAGGTAACTCGGGTAGCAGCCCTCATAATTCAGCTGGTGGCACTCGCAGCTCAGCAGTTAGCCCGGGTAGTTCTGGTGGCCCTGGTAGTTCAGCGGGTGGCCCTTGAAGCTCTGCTGGCGGTTCTCGGAACTCGTCTGGCAATCCTCAAGGAGCAAGAGGTGGTTCTCGTAGCTCCGTGTGCTGAGGTCGCCCAGACGGTGGTGCTAGAAGCTCTGCTCGGTGTCCGTGTAGCTCAGCTCGTGGTTGTCGTAGTTACGCAGGTGGCCGCGGTGGCTCAGCTGGCTCATCGAGGCAGCTACGGAGGGGTAGCGCGGCGGACCTGGTGAGCGGGAGCTTCCACGTCGTCATTTCCAAGGCCGCGCGGCGGTAGTAGCGTCGTCCATGCTGGTCAAGGTAGCCCAGCCAGGTGGCAGGGAGGTTGGCGCCGGTGGCTCTCGTAGCTCAGCTGGTAGCCCTCGTAGTTCGGCTGGCGATCCTCGGAGCCCTGCCAGTGGCACTCGAAGCCCTGGCTGTGGCCCCGGTAGCTCCGCACGTGATCCCAGTAGCTTAGCAGGTGGCCCTCATACCTCAGCTGGTTGTCCTTGATCAGCTGGTGGCCCTTGCGAATCAGCTCGTCGCCCCGGTAGCTCTACGGGAGGCTCTCGTAGTGCTGCTCGTGGCCTGCGTAGCTCAGGTCGTAGCTCTGCCCGTGGCCCTCGTTATTCTTCTGATGGGTCTCAGAATTCTGCTTTTGGCCCTTCCAGTTCAGCTCGTCGCCCTCGTCGCTTTGCAGGAGGGTCGGGCAGGTCTTCCCGTAGTCCGCGTAGCTCTGGTTGTGGCCCTCGTAGCTCAGCAGGTGACCCTCGTAGCTCTCGCAGCTGCGCCTGTGGTCCTCGTAGCACACCTGGCGCCTCCGGTAGCTCAGTCTGTGGCCCTCGTAGCTCAGCTGGTGGCCCTCGTAGAGCAGGAGACGGTCCTCGTGGTTCAGCTAGTAGTTCTCGTAGTCCTGCTTGTGGCTTTCGTAGCTCAGCATGCGATCCTCGTTGCTCAGCTCGTGGCTCTCGTGACTCTGCTGGTGGCTCTCGTAGCGCGGCAGGTGGGTCTTGAAGCTTTTCTGGTGGCTCCCGTAGCTGTGCCAGTGTTCCTTGTAGGGTATTTGTCGCCCTCGTAGCAGAGTTTGTGGCTCCTTGGTTATGCTGGCGGCGGTCGTAGCTCGGAAGGCGGGTCTGGAAGCTCAGCTGGTGGCTCTCGTAGCTGTGCGCGCGGACCTCCTCATTCAGCTCGTGGTCCCCGAAGGTCGCCTGGTGGCCCTGGTGGCTCTGCTGTTGGTGGTAGTCGCTCTGCTCGCTGCCCTCGAAGCTCAGGTAGCGGCCCAAGTAGCTTCCCAGGTGGCCCTCGTAACCCTGCTTCTCGCAGCTCAGCTCGCGGCCCTGGCGGCTCAGATTGTGGTTTCCGTGGTTCTGCTGGTGGCTCTCGTAGCTCGGCAAGTGGGTCTTGAAGCTCTTCGGGTGACTCTCGTAGCTGTAAGCGCGGTCCTCCTTGCTCAGCTTGTGGTCCCTGAAGGTCGTCGGATGGCCCTGGTAGCTCAGCTGGTGGCTGTAGCAGCTCAGATGGCACGCTTTCTTCGTAGCCCCCGAGGTCCGAGTCAGAGCCGGCGGCTGCCAAATCGTGATGTTCCACGTCGCGGGTGTCCCTGTAATCCTGGCGGCTGTGGTACCCACGCGGCCCGTCGCAGCCCTGGGGGTCGTCGGAGTACAGGTCGCTATCGAAAAGCGCGGCCGCATTCGTACTCGGCGTGGGTGGCGCGGCCGTTGTCCACCGGTGCCTCCACAACGACGTCCTCAGTAACCCTTGTTTTCGGACTGCTCGGTCATGTCGTTCCTGGCGTCGGTCTTGGTGGCGTATTTGGTGTCGTAGTGATGCAGTTCATTATCTTACTTGGGCTGCCTGTTACCCTATTCGTTTTCGCACCTGGGCTGCCTGCGCCTGCTGCGCAGCTCGTCTTTTCACTCTCTCTCGAAGGTGGTCGCAACAATGATAATGATGTCATCGGATCGAGGCTGTGTCCCATGCCTGACGTTGTGCCCCACTCGTGGTTGGGCCGCGTCTGTTCACGCGCACGCACCTCTTTGCATGCATGGTTTCGCCATCCTTGCTGGTGCGTTCCCACAGCGAAGGGTAAGTCTCGTAGCCTGATGGTTCAAAAATTCAAAAGCTGGTGGTTGATCTTTTAGTCAGGGCATGACATGGGTCATAGTGATCTCGAGATATTTCACGCCGTTCTTGATGATGTCCACGCGGATCGTGCAATACTTGGTGGCAAGCGTATCGCACGGCGCGCCGTCCGCCGCGTAGCGGATAGCGCGTTGAGGCCTGCACCACATCCCGTGGGCGGTGGGGAGCACCCCGCCCGCACGGCCAGAATGGCCCTCCCCCTCCTCCTGCCCCTCCCCCTCATTACCGTCCTCCTTCTCCTCCTCCTCCTCCTCCTCCTCCTCCTCCTCCTCCTCCATCTCCATCTCCTCCTCCTCCTCCTCCTCCTCCTCCTCCTCCTCCTCCTCCTCCCCAGGGGCCAGGCGGACGACGCACGTTCGGGCCCGCGCGCGCCCGCGCCCGCGCCCGCCCGCGCGCGCGGCCGCCGCGGCCGAGCGGGGGGGGCCGGCGACGGGGCCGGCGGCCCCTCCTCCTCCTGCTCCTCCTCCTCCTCCTTTTCCTCCTTCTCCTCCTTTTCCTCCCCTCCTTCTCCTCCTTCTCCTCCTTTTCCTCCTCTTCCTCCTTTTCCTCCTTCTCCTCCTTTTCCTCCTCCTCCTCCTCCTCCTCCTCCTCCTCCTCCTCCTCCTTTTCCTCCTCCTCCTTTTCCTCCTTCTCCTTTTCCTCCTCCTCCTTTTCCTCCTGCTCATTCCCCACCGTCTCCTCGCGCAGCGGACTCAGCTCCCCCTTTCCGACTGCGTACATCAGGATGGTGTCCTTGCTTAGAGTTCCAGGTCCGCTATTACACGCGCCGGCGGATACAGAAAAAATCAGCGCAGTGGGAAAAGATGATTGGGAAGGTTAGGATGTCAGATATGGCCACTTCCGGAAACCGAGAACCCAAACATGCTGCCATCTTTGAGGCCGCCGTTGCTTTACTTCCGCCATATTCCGTCGGCATTCCTCCGCCTTCCTCTGGCGGAGCCGCCCTCGGTTCACTTTCGCAGGCTTCCGCCGGCCTTCCACCGCCTTCCTCCGAGGCAGAGATGGCAACTCCTTCGGCATACGAAGGCGAGGCGCGATGGTGAAGTGGAACACCCTGACTCTGGAGTAGTCCCACTGTGGTGGTCCCCAGGCTACCCTTCGACGTCGGCAGGGTGGAGGATGCCTGCGTCCAGAGAGGCCCCGACGTGGGATGTAGAGCGCCAACTCGCAGGTCCCGGCCAGATGCCTCGCACGCGTCATGGCAGACAGATCCGCCAGGTTGGCGATCCATCCAGATCTGCTTGCCACTCTGGGCCGAGAAGCCCAGAAGGTGTGGGGAATGGAACACTTCTCCTCAACTCAACGCTGTGCCCTCGAAGGCGAGGCCCTCTCCCTCTCTGGGACGCCTCCTCTGGCGCGGGCGGACCTTGCGCCTGCCCCCCCTCCTCGCCCTCCTGCCCTCGCACTGCTGCCCTCCACGCCCCTCGCCTGGCGGTGGAGGTGCTGCTTGATCCGCATGAGGCGCCCCAGGCCCTCCTCGGCCTCGGCGGCAGGAGGAGCGGAGGGACGCTGCTGTCCTCAATGTGTCCTCCCCCTCCCCGCCCTCCTCCCCTCCCCTCCTCCTCCTCCTCCCCCTCCGCCTCCTCCTCCTCCTCCTCCTCCTCCTCCTCCTCCTCCTCCCCCTCCTCCTCTTCCTCGTCAGTTCCTCCCTCTTCCTCCACCTCCTCCTCCTCCTTCTCCTCGCCCTCCCCGCCCTCCTCCCCATCCCTCCTCCTCCTCCTCCGCCTCCTCCTCCTCCTCTTCTTCCTCCTCAACCTCCTCCCCCTCCTCCTCTTCCTCGTCAAATCCTGCCCCCCCTCCCCCACATCTTCCTTCTCCCCTCCCTCTCACCGACCGCCGCGCCGGCTCCCGGCCTTGGGGGCCTCAGCGGCCGCCGGCGCGCTTTTTCACATCCATATCCATACATACGTGTGCACATGCATACATGCATACACATACACATACACACACGTACACACCTACCTATCTACCTACCTACCTACCTACCGACCGACCGACCTACCTACCTACCTACATACATATATACATGCATGCATGCATGTACCCGTACATACACGCATGCGTACATGCATGCATGCATACATGCATGCATACATGCATACATGCATGCATACAGTCATACCTGCATACATGCATACATGAATGCATGCATGCACTCATACCTGCCGACCTACCTATCTACCTACATGCATGCATGTATACACATACATACGCATACACCTACACATACACATGCGCATACACATACACATACACATACACATACGCAAAATCATACACGTAAACATACACATACACGTACCCATACACATACACGTACACACATATGCATACACATACACACACGCATTCGCATCCACCTATACCTACACATACATATACACATACACATGCGCATACACCTGCACGTACATACATTCGTTAATGCATACGTACATCACATACTTACATACATACATGCATACATACATACATGCACGCACTTATGCATGCATACAACCACAATGGCATGCATGCACACATGCACTCAAATGTACATATGTGTACGTATGCTTACATACACGGGCACACCTACCTATATACATGCACGCATGCGTGCATGCACAGATACATAAAACCGTACATGAACACACACATAGATAAACACCGGCATGCATGCATACATGCATGCATGCAGGCAGGCATACATGCGTACGTGCATACACACATGCATGTACACATACAGGCATGATTGAGCACATGCATGCACACATATCTGTGTACGTGTGTATACACGTACGTATAATGTATACACATATATAGCATGCATGCATGTATGCAAACACGCGTATACGCACACACACACACCTACATACGGCGAGTCATGCATATATGCATGCATGCCTGCAGCCATACATGCATGTATGCATGCATAACTACATGACTGCATATATACATGCACGCAGTCATACAGACATGCAGACACATGTACGTGCATACAATCACGCATACATACATGCGTACATACGTACAGACATGCATGCATGTATGCATACATAGATGCGTGCATACAGACCTACTGGCATATCCACCTACCTACATGTATGCATACACGTGTATATATCAGTGCACAGCCCCCCGCCCAACACCCACTGGGTTTCCACGCCATCGCGCGTGTTGCCAACTCTACTCCTACTCCGCCTCCTGCTACGCCTACTCGTACACCTAATACTACGTCTGTTCCTCTCCCTTCACCCAGTCACCGTCCACCTCCTCAACTCTACTTTTACGGTGGTTACGTTGCCCTCATTCCCACCCGCTCCCAATCGTACTATTCCTCCTCGTCCCCTCTCCTCCGATCCTCCCCTAGCATCATCAGGTATCTCGGGGGCTCCTCCCCGACCTCCTCCATCCCCCATGCCTCGCTCCTACAGCTCATCCTTATCCTCCGCCCCCTCCTCGGGGAACGATGACGACGAGACGACGTACAGAATGGGAAGAGGGGGGGGAGGACGAGGAGGCTCCTCCTCCTCCTCCTCCTCCTCCTCCTCCTCCTCCTCCTCCTCCTCCTCCTCCCCCTCCCCCTCCCCCTCCCCCTCCCCCTCCTCCCTCCCACACTTCCTGTTTCTAACCCTCCTCCTCCTCCTCATCATCATCACCCTCCTCCGGGAACGATGATCTGGAGGCGATTCAAATAATGGGGAGAGGAGGAAGAGGAGGAGGAGGACGAGGAGGCTCCTCCTCATCTTCCTCCTCATAAGCTACGGTTGATCCTCCTTCTGCTGCTCCTCCGCATTCTCATCATCATCACCCCCACTTCTCCTCCTCCTCCCCCCCTCCTCCTCCTCGCATCATCCTTCCCCTCCTCCTCCTCATCCTTCTTACCCCACTTCTTCCTCGGAGAAGTCGGAGGAAGATCGACATGATGGGACATACGAGGAAGACGACGACGGTGGGAGAGGAGGCGAAACATATGGACCCCTCATCCTCCTCCTTCCTCCTCTCCCTAACTCCTTCTTGGATTAGGAACGAGGAGGAGGGAGGAGGAGAGGAGAGGAGAAGGAGGAGGAGAGGCATGGTAGGAGAAGAAGAGGGAGCCGATGCTGTAGTTTTACTTGTGGCTTTTTAGTCGTAGTCATCTCCGTAGTATTAATATTACTCGTCGTAACCGTAGTAACGGAGGTGGTGCTGGAGGAGGAAAAACAACAGGAGGAGGAGGACGAACAGGCGGAGGAGAGCAGAGGAAGATGAGGATAAGGATATTCCTCGTCGTCCTACTCCTCCTCCTCCTACTCCTCTTCCTTCTTCCTCCCTCCTCCACTGCCGCCGTTTCCACATCCTTCTTCGTTATGTTCGTGCCCCCTCCTCCGATGGGAGAAAAAGAGAAAGCGAGAGAGAGAGAGAGAGAATAAACACATAAAACAACGAGCAAGAGAGAGAAAGAGAGCGAGATTATCAGAGAGGGAGGGAGCGAGATGGAGAGGGAGAGATATAGAGAGAGCGAGAGGCAGAGAGAAAGAGAGAGACTCGAGGGAGCCACGATCTCTCTCCTCTCTCTCTCATCTCCTCGATGTTCTGCGTCTTCTTGTCGCACCGCCTCCGCATTCCTATGTCGTCATATACTCCTCATCCTGCTGCTGGTCCTCATCTTCAGCATGTTATGATGCTCCTCCTGCTCATCCACCTCCTCAACCCCTCCCTGTCATCCTCGCCGGCTTCCGGAGAGTGTGAGAGAGGGAGATTCAAAGGAGCAGCGAACTCTGTGAAATCACCACGTTTGAGAGACCAAACGACGCGAAACCTTGCGATTAAACTTGGATGTTTTCGATTCCTGGGATGAGAATCACGGAAACTATGTGATTGCATTGTGATGTTTGGAGGGTCCTGGGATTCTACAGCCTCAAACGAGAAACCACGCTGTAGCCCTACAGGGCTCTGAATCCCAGAAGTCCAAATGAAATCACAGGGTCTGCGAGACCAGAGGGCGCCAACCCATGTGATGTCATTTTTGATGTTTGGGATTTCTGCGATATCCCAGAAGCCCTTTGAGTTCATCTGGATGTTAGGGGATTTCTGGGACTCCACAGCCTCAAACAAGAATCCACGCTGCAGCCCTCCAGGGCTCTGAATCACAGAACTCCATTGGAGATTCTAGGGTTTGCGAGACCAGAAGGTGCCAACCCATGTGATGTCATTTGGAAGTTCTGTTTGACTTCTGGAGTGAGAATATCAGAAAACCTGTGATGCCATTTGGATATCTGGGGCTTCTAAGATTCAGAGCCTCGCAGGGCTGCAGCGTGGATGGTCGATGGAGGGTGTAAAAAACCCTGCACAAAGCATCAACATCTCTCTTTCTCTTTCCCGCCCTCTGCCTCATTGGACGAGGAGGCGGAGGAGGAGCAGCAGCAGCAGGGTTTGGGGCTGCAGCAACAGGAAGGGCAGTGACAGGAAGAGGAGGATGCGAAGCAGGAGGACACATAGCAGTACGCGGAGAAGAGGAACGAACAAAGGAGAGGAGAGAAGACTACCGTCATAAGAAAAGACGATGAATGGGTGCTGGCGGGGCTGTCCAAATACGCGTGTGTGTGTATATATATATATATATGTATATGCGTGTGTGCTTTACCCAACGACTCCCGGCACACCTCGCACACCTTGCATACCGCGGCCGCCAGGCCACAAGGGTCCTGGGGCTCCCCGGGTGTCCCGCCTCGCGTCTTCAACGCACGACGACTGCATGCCGCGGCCGCCAGGCCCTAAGGGGCCTCGTGATCTCTGGGGATACCACCTCGCGTTCTCAGGTGTGGACCGCGTGAAGCACAACAGAGCATCGTGGCTTTCGCAACGTGGACTCCTGGGGGTCTAATTCACTTCCCCGGCATCTGATCTTCATCCCGAGTCGCTGTCTGACGGCCCCAGGGCCAGACGAACGCCCCCCCTCAGAGGCCGAGAGTAGACGAAAACCAGGCGCCGTGATTTTTTGTTCGGGTAAAAAACAAAAAAACGTAAGACACCGGGAAGGAAGGCCTCCGAAGCTCTCCAAACACCGCCGAGGCCCCCCGGGCACACCCCGCCAGAGGCCGACGGGAGGCCTCTGGATGGGCCCTGCGACCCGACGCAGAGAACGTTTGCACCACCGTGCGAAATCGCGACTGCAGACTCCTGCGCACCTCCTCCTCCTCCTCCTCCTCCTCCTCCGCCCTCCTCCTCCCTCCTCCTCCCTCCTCCTCCTCCTCCTCCTCGTTCTCCTCCTCCTCCTCCTCCTCCTCCTCCTCCTCCTCCTCATCTGTCTGCAGACACCTCCGACCAGGATCGATCTGTGCTGGCCCCCGGGCGACAAGAGCACGGCGCACGCCTCCGACGCCGAAGACACCTCGCCAACGCCCGCACCTCAAGGGGCGGCCCCGCCCTTCGGGCCTCGGCCGCCGCCAGGAAGTGGCTCTCGTCCACGGAGGTGCCGTAGCACAGCCAGAGGTACCGCTTCGGCCACGTGCGGGTGATGCTCACCTCGAGCCGGCCGCCGAGGAAGAGGACGGACACCGCGAGCGCGGCCGCCACGATCCAGGCGCCGAGCTGCTGCGAGACTGCCTCGTGGACGGCCACGCCAACGAGGGCAGCGGCGATCGACAGGGGCAGCGCCGCCGCCATGGGCCAGGTCTCTGCGAGATACAGTCTGGGACCGAGGCAAGCACTGCAGCACACCCGAGCTCTCTCCTGCAACAGCGAGCAGGGCATGCGCTCTTGCTCCAAGTCGTAGCACTCGCCAAGTACAGCGATAAAGACGTTGAGGGCGCACGCTAAGAACATGAATAAGCCAGCCAGCGTGAGAAGAATATAGAGCGTCCTCTTGTAGGCGGGCATTTCGCCCAGCTCATCGCGATCAAGAAACAAATTCTCACCTGTGAACAGCATGGTGACGACCTCGAAGAACTTCACGTCGTCGGCCATCTCCATGTCGAAGGACCAGAAACCGTGGACAAACGCCATCATCACAAAAAATACTATTAGGACCATGGGCCCGATCATCCTGATGGACTTGAGGATCGGTAGGAGCTTCGACCCCGTTGCTGGGAAGGCGCGCAGCTGCAGAAGCAGCCATAACCAATGGATCAAGCTGTTGGCGGCAAGCAGAATGCTCGGCGCGTTGTCGCCGCTAGCTGGCCAGTACTCTGTTGAAACAAGCTGGGCACACAAGAGCGTTGTGACACCGCCCGCAACAAATCTGAAAGACCAAAGCTCGGCCCACTTGAGGCCCTGAGCTCTCCCAATCTCGATCGTCACCCTCGCAACCATGCACGCTACATGGAGGCACTCCGCGATGCCCCTCGAAGCAATCCAAGCCCACACCGCAAACCGAGTGTAGTAGCCTGGCGTGGTCAACTGACTGCTTAGAATCCAGGTGCTCAGAATCAGAGTTGCGATCACCTCGTGGATATTTTCAATCACGAACAAATACCACAACTCAGACCACGCATGCTTCAGAAGCCCGTGC